TTGAACCATCCCAAAATTCACCCTGAGGGCACCTGAACCGCCGCAAAAATCACCCTCAGGGCACCGGGGCACCCCAAAATTAACACTGCCGTACCTGAAGCACCCCTACATTCACCCTGAGGGCACCCAAACCACCCCAAAATTAAACGCTGGGAGCGACTGAGCCACCCCAAAAATCACCCCAGGACACCTGAACTACCCCAAAACTCATCCTGAGGGCACCTGAACCATCCCAAAATTAACACTGGGAGCACCTGAACCATCCCCAAAATCACCCTGGGGGCATCTGGGCATCCCAAAATTAACCCTGGGAGTTCCTGAACTACCCTAAATTAACATTGGGGGCACCTGAACCTCCCCAAATTAACCATGAAGGCACCTGAACAACCCCAAAAATTTACCTTGGGGGCACCTGAGCCCAACAAAATTCCCACTGGGAGCATCTGAACCCCTTCAAATTAACACTGGGGACATGTGAAACCTCCAAATTAACATTGTGGGGGGCACCTCAGCCCTCCTAAAATTTACCTTGGGGGCACTTGAACCCAACAAAATGAACCCTGGGGGGCACCTGAACCCCTGCTAATTAACCCTGGAGGCATCTGAATCCACCAAGTCAATCCCAAACCCCCAAAATCAAACCTTAGGGGGCACCTGAGCCCCCCAAAATCAAACCTTGGGGCTCAGGGGAGACACCTGAATTCCCCCTCCCCAAAAAAGGAGGGGAGGGAGTTCAGCACATAAAATTAGGCTGTTAAAATAACCAGTCTCAAAACTTCCTTTTTGAAACAAATTTGCTCCTCCCATACTTCTTTTTCCCCTAATAATTAATTTTTACAGATTTTAAAACCATTAAAAATGTGTCCAAATGCCTCTTGATTCAACTCTCTATAAAATTTTAATGACTGTGCTCCTGTTAACTAAATATTTGAAACAGAAAAATAACCAGAACTTTTTTTTAAACAATAAATAAGCAACTTTGTTGTTGGTTTTTTTTTTTTTAACAAGAATGAAATATAAACTTTGCACATCCAAAATACAATATACAACTTATTTCCAAAAGGATTTCCTGATGACAGAAACAGTAAATCCAGGTGAAGAACTGAAGTTTTCCTATAGAGATCAGGTGATGTTGCTCGTTGCAGCTTTTTCTTCCAAATTCCATAATTCCCTGATGGATTTTCCTACTTGGGAGTGTGAGGTGTGGGACTCCACGGTTGGATTTTGGTCAGAGCCTGGTGGAATCAACATTTGGTGGTGGTTGTGGTAAATTTGTTGCCTTTAAGACTGACAAAGTGTGCATGTCCCCACGACACCCAGCTGAATTTATCTTTTTGGGAAGGCTGGTGGGGATAAGGCCAAGGAAGATTTTTAAATTTAAACCATATTTTATCCAGCTGAAATGGCTCATATCCCCTTCCAAAAGAACAAAAGGTTGTGAGAGCTGTGTGGTCAAAAACCATGACAGCAGAGGTGAACAATTATCTAGAAATGAAGTTTTATCAGTTTTCCATAACGCAGGAAACGAGAGATTCCCATAAAAAGGATTTGTTGTCAAACTTCACTCAAGAAACCCAGCTGAACCCAGAGCTGCAGTGGAACAGCAGCAAAGTTCATGAACAAACCACTCTGAGGTGTCCCAGCCCTGCTTCATGTGCAGTGCAGCTGGCTTTGTCTCTCAGTCTCAGCTTTCCTCTCCTGCCTGTGGGTCATGGCAGCCCAAAAAGTGACTTTTTTCAGCACTTCCTGCAGAAGTTTGGATGGCAAGCAGGGAATTTGGTTCTCCAAGAGAGCAGCGTTCTTCCCAATGCAGTCAAGACACAGCCTGAGAAAAGGAAATAGAAAAAAAAAGAAAAATAAGATTGAAGGAGATGGTTTATATTCTAACAAATGACACCTAATAAAAGCCGGTGATGTGCATTAATTACGGGTGTTAATTACAGGTGCACACGCAGGGCATTAATTACACAGCAGCAGTGATTAAACTGCTGTACAGCATCACACACTGAAGGGTTCAAGTATTTCCTGAGGAGGTAATTGGGTATTTCACCCAATTTCTGCAGGAAATGGGTGAAACTTTTCTAAACGTTCACATTTCTAAGGTGGCTAAAACAACACCTGGGACAGTGGGGGGTGTCCCTGCCCATGGATGGGGTCTAAGGTCCCTCCCAGCCCAAACCATTCTGGGATTCTGTAACTCTGACTCACCTGAGCAGGGAATAAGGCTGAGTCTGAAATATCAACAAGTCACTGCAGTAACTCTGATCAAGAGAAAAAAAAAACAACCATTAGAATGGCAAACAACTTCTCTACCTCAGCAATTTTCTCCATTAATGCCACATTTGTTAGCACGTGCACGATTTAGAAATATTAAATTTGACCAGCTATTTATAAGGAATGTGAATTACAAATTCCTTTCTATTCTGTTGGTCAAGAATCAGGTGAGGATTCCTCAGTGGAATCAGTGTAAATTATAATTAATTTATAAACTGTGATGTGTAAATAATAATCATTTCCTCAGTGATGTGTAATTTGTAATGGTTTCAGTTATCAATTTCAACAAATTCTTTGAGCCAAACTCAATCTGTTTTTTTTCCAATTAAAATTCTATATAAAGATATATTTATTAATTGATTTGCTTGGAGGTTTTGGACTCCCCATCTGTGGAAGTGTCCAAGGCCAGGCTGGGTGATGCTTGGAGCAACCTGGGATAGTGGGAGGTGTCTCTGCCCATAGCAGGGGGAGCATTAAATGAAATTAAAGTCCCTCCCAACTCAAACCATTCCATGGTTTTATATCAATTATAATTATTCCAGTGATGGGATTTCAGTGTGCAGTTTACTGACCGTGTCCATAAAAAGCAAATCATCTTTGCTGCCCCCAAACACCATCACTTCTCCCTCCTGCCCAAGGCAGGCTGTGTGCCACAACCTGGAAATCAAACCACAAACACAATGAGTGCCCAAGAGAAAAGACTTGTGTGTTATCAG